TTTCCCCAAACTCTGGGAATGCTGCCAAGTTTACTAACAGGATAAATCTTCAGATTTTTCAAAGTGAAATTAGTAGCAGATTTTTTGGGGGTGGCAGGGTGGGGGGGTGGCAATGTGAGGAGATCAAGGGGGATCCCAATATGTTATGCTTCTTCTGCACCCCCCAGTCCAAAAACGCGATCATGCATACTTATTTATTTATTTATACCCCACCTTTCTCCTTTAAAAAAGGACCCATGGGTGGTCTGAATCCTGCAAGACTCCAAAGCTGGCGTCTGTGAGATTTTTAGTCATTTGATCAAGCCATCCCTGGCCCACCCTTTTTTTCCCCTCTTTTCAGAGGTTGGGAGTTCGATTCCCCCCACTGGGCCTCCTTGACAGGGGCTGGACTCTGTGACCCATGGGGTCCCTTCCAGCTGTGTTGTTCTAAGACGGTGATGATGATGAATTAATTCCTTATGGCTGTAGGCCATGCTGGCTGAGACTGGAAATCCACGCCATCCGAAGGACGAGTGTTTCCCTGCACCTCAGTCAATGTCAATCAATCAATAAATAATCAGGTGTCCTTCAGAGGTAAACTCACTCTATGCTTTACGATCTACCAGCAGGGACATTTGCTTGACTAGGAACACTTGGTGTAAGGGATTGTTATTAAAAAAATGAAGTCCAGTCCATGTTTGCCTCATAGGTAGGCGAACTATGTTTAATGGGGCCTATTCTCAGGAAAGCATGTCTAGAATCGCAGCCTGAGAAAGGCTTGTCTACAAAAGCTTCTCCCACTCTAGCTTCTACTGGTGGTGCCAGTCAGTGGAAGCAAAGTTTATGCTGGGGGAAAAAAAACCCATCAAAATTTTGACTTTCAGCCAAGCGATCCAGAACGACACCGTAGTTCAGTAACCAGCTGCCCTCCAGAGTTTCTGGATTGCAGCTTCCATCATCCCAAGCAACCTGTTGAGAACACATGGGAGTTGTTATAATCCATTCCTTGCAGAGAAGACTAAAAGGGTTGGGTTAAAACAACTCCCGTTTGGAGAAGAGATATAGGAAAGTGTTAAAAGATGCTGAGAGCCCCCCCCCTTCCTCAAGTTAGAGCTCAAGGAAGCAAAGTTGCCTCCCTTACCAAACCAGTCCAGGCAGCAAACTGAAGTGGATGGAGACAGGAAAGGAATACCTGGAGTTGAGGCGTTGGAAGGAAGTTGTACAAAAGAAGATTTTGGAAGAAGATTTTATTATGCATCCATACCTCAAGAGTGATAAAGGAATAGAAACATAGGAAAGAAGGCAAAGCTTCTAAAATCTGAGTTTCAGTTGTGTAATTGTAGCAGGGATCCTAATGGGACTGTGTGGTCATCCTGACTCTGTTTCTCTCCAGATGTTTATCTTCACAGGTAGCAGTGGAAGGTCTTCTGGATAGCAGAGGTCATCCATGTACGAATTCCCTTAAACACCCACCCTTCTGCTTACTTTAAAGATTTTGACAGCATCCCTGGATTGCATCAGAAATCAGAAAAGTTACTGGCACATTCTGGGAGGTGTAGCTGCCCCCCCTCCTCAAGTTTCCAAGCTCTGATCTGCATGCAAAAGAATCCAGTAGAAGTACCTTGTTTTAGATGTCGTTACACAGAACCTTTGTACGGATCGCAAGGGGCTTCCTCTGAAAAGTATAGGATCCAGAACAGTCTTTGACGACCTGTCCAAGGAGACACAAATTACGAAAAACCCAGAAGCCGTCAGCCAAAGAGGTGCCCCTTCTGCTCTACCATGGTGGTCCCCAACCTTTGGCCTCCAGATGTTCTTGGACTACAATTCCCAGAAGCCTTCACCACCACCTCTGCTGGCCAGGATTTCTGGGAGTTGAAGTCCAAGAACATCTGGAGGCCCAAAGGTTGGAGACCACTGCCTACCACATCCCCCTGTGCTCTTGGAACGGGAGCTGATGCCACAGGTTAAGCTCTTACGACAGCCATGACAAGTAACAGATGCAAATATCCGCTGTCTTTCTCCATTGCTGATACACAAACACACAGCGAGTTTAAATGCTCTGTTTTTTTAGGAATTACAGAGCCGAAGCCAAAAAGCAAGAGTTGTGAAAACAGCTGAAAAAAACCCACCACAAATATAAGATACGGAACAAGATCTGAAAAGGGGAGGAACCTTCAAGCAATCTGGAGGCTGCACACACCCATCCCTGAAAGTTTGAGGAAGGTGCGGCTTTCATGACCCCTGCCACCAAATATATCCTTACAAATTTTTTTTACAAAATTTAAAAACAAACAAAAACAGAAAAGCTCCCTTGAGCCCTCTAGTGGCAAAACTATTTTCCAAAAATTAAAAATTTGGGATGGAGGTGGGGATCCTTAGGATGGGGAAAACAATGGGAAATTGTCCCCGTGCTCCTTAAGTCCTCTGAAGAGGACTTTCAGACTCACAAAAAGCTTTTTTCCCCTAAAAAAGGTTAAATTTGGGGGGTATTTGTGGGGGTGCCAGAGTGCCCTTGTTCTGATGGCCCACAATGTGTGTCTTGTGTGTGTGTGGGGTATGTTGTCCGTCCTAGATTTAAAGTGAGAACACTCATGTCCTCCACACGGACCACCTCTGCAGGAAGCCATTAAAGACATCTTGTGATTTAGCCCCTAGATATATATATACAGTGGTGCCTCGCATAGCGAGGTTAATCCGTTCCGGATTAACCTTCGCTATGCTGAAGCATCGTTGAACGGGGCAGGGATTTCAATTGGAACGCATTAAACATGGTTTAATGCGTTCCAAATGAGCCAAATACTCACCGTTCAACGAAGCTTTCTAATGGCCGGCAGCCATTTTCGCGCCCTCGCCTCGCTTAACGAGGGCGCGAAAACGCTGCGCGTGGCCATTTTGGGCCATTTCCGGGCTTCCGGCGGCCATTTTGGCCGCCGAACAGCTGATCGTCGGGGCTTCGTTTTGCGAAGCTCGGTAAGCGAAATGCTTACCGGTCTTCGCAAAGCGAATTGTGCCCCATAAGAAAAACGTTAAGCGATCGCATTAGCGATCCGAAAAACGGATCGCTATGCGATTTCGTCGTTATGTGGTGCACTCGTTAAGCGAGGCACCACTGTATATATTTAATAGTGATGTATGGAAGTGAGAACTGGACCCTAAAGAAGGCTGACTGCCGAAGAATGGATGCTTTTGAATTGTGGTGCTGGAGGAGGCTCTTGAGAGTCCCCTGGACTGCAAGGAGAACAAACCTATCTCCATTCTAAAGGAAATCAACCTCACTGGAAGGACAGATCGTGAAGCTGAGGCTCCAATACTTCAGCAATTAAATGAGAAGAGAAGTCTCCCTGGAAAAGCCCCTGATGTTGGGAAAGTGTGAGAGCAAGAGGAGAGAAGGGGACGACAGAGGACAAGATGAATGGACAGGGTCACAGAAGCGACCAACATGAATCTGACCCAACTCCAGGAGGCTGTGGAAGACAGGAGGGCTTGGCGTGCTCTGGTCTGTGGGGTCACGAAGAGTCGGACGTGACTTAACGACTCAACAACAATGACTGGGAACAGAAGGGGTCAGGAAGAGAAAATACAGTGGGGTCTTGACTTAAGAACGGCTTGAGTTAAGAACATTTTGACTTAAGAACCACTCTCATAGGAAAATATTGACTTGACTTACATACTTAGATTTGAGTTAAGAACTGAAAAAAACCCACGTGGGAGGCAGGGAAAGTGCAAAATGTGAACTTTCAGTTAACTGTTTGCCAGTGAAAAGGGTGCCTGTCTGCTTCCTCACTCCTCCCAGCGTTTAGAGAGTGGATTGGGAGACAGTCTTCGGACTGCCTGGTACTGTTACTGCCTGGACTGTCTTTTCCCTGCCTTCCCTGAACCTTTCTTGACCTAAGAAAAAAAGAAACAAAATAGCCCCCTCTAGTGGTCGAAGGCAGAATAGCAGCTTCCCATTAGTTTCTATGGACGGAAAAGAGCAGATACGGATCAAATGGTTTTCAATGCATTCCTATGGGAAATGCAGATTTGACCTGAGAACTTTTTGACTTGAGAACCGCCTTCCAATACGGATTAAGTTCTCAAGTCAAGACCCCACTGTAAGGAAAACGAAAAAGAATGGACCTGATAGGTCAGGAGAGGGAAAGCCACCAGAGCCTGGCGGGGGGGGGGGAGAAAATCACCCTCTGAATTTGGGTTGGGGGAGAGAGAATTTAACCTCAAGCCCCATACCACGTTTTAGCCCCACGAACCATTTTAAAAGGAGGACGTAGGGTTTGTTTGGGAGAACCCCACTGAATTGGTGGTCACGTCCCGTTTCACCTGAAGGAGCAGGTGTGGCCCCCAAGGTGGGGGTCCCGGGATTGCAAAACAATCCCCCACCTGCTTCCCGCCTTTGCTCACCCCTTTAGAAGAAAGGCCGTGTTTCAGCACAGCCAGTGTTTGAGGGTCCGCCCGGGGGGGGGTCAGGAAAGGATGGAAAGGTTCTCCTCATCACCAGCAAACAAGCAAGGACCACAGCCAAGGGACCATTGACACCGGAAGGGCAGTGTGACCCTCCTTGTCACAAATGCTCCCCAGGCAGTGGGGCGACCTTGCAGGCCAGGCATATGGGTTAGGAAAGGATCTGCTTGGCAGAAACCACATCTGGATTCCAAGCCAGGCATGGCAGATCAAAACATGACAATTATATAGGGGAGAGCCAGAAGTTGGGAGTTCGATTCCCCTTCGGTGCCTAATTGACAGGCGCTAGACTCCATGCTCCATCGGGACCTTTCCAGCTCCGCCGTTCTATTATTATTATGGATATTGTGAAGGAACCAAGCACCAGCCTAGTCTTTGCTTTCCATGATATGCCGGCTTTCTGCATGTGTGGCTATAGGAGAGCTGGAGGAAGCTGGCCCTCAGGTAGAGAAGCATCTGCCACGAAAGCACCCTTACCCCGTTTTCCTTGAAGTCGCACCAGCTGACATCAAGATTCTCGAAGGAACGGCAGACTGTCTCTTTGATGGAGAATTTAAACGACTGGGGAGTTTCAGCAGGAGGTTTCTGCGGAGATATGAAGGAAGAGGAATCGTGAGCCCTCTCTTTCTCTCTCTGATTCGGGAATGTTTTTGAGCTGAACTCCCCCTTGATCGAGCCTCCCAAATGAGGGACAACCTGCTTGGGGGTTTTCAAGAGTAAGCCGACTGCCATCGTTTTCTCTGGCAGAGACGTTAGGCCTTCAGCCTCTATGCTTCAGGCAGAAATCCAACCGGTGAAGCTTCCCACGGCATGTAGCGTGAGTGGCCGAGAATTCACCCGTCCATGGATTTCTGCCTGGCCTGTAGTTGTTAGAGTCAGAGGGAGCTTGCTGGAAATAAGCTTGGCAACTTTCCACTCCTGAGTGCTCGTGTTGAAATAAAAACCTCTGGAAGCAACAGACAGCCCGTGTTGTATTTCTGTACTTCCTTCTCTGATCTGGGAACAGCAGAATGGTGTGTGTATGTGTTTGGACTTTAATAAACCACCATAAATGTCGTACAAATGCTGGCCGCACAACAAGAGAAAGAGCGAGGAGGTGCGGAGTCCAAGACCCATCCAAAACTCAGCCACTGGTTTATAATAATTGTGCGCCACCAAGTTCGTTCTGACTTATGGGGATCTTTTCCAGAGTTTCCCAGATAGAGAATACTCATGAAGGGGTTGACCCTTCCCTTCCACTAGGGGCGCCCTAGGGCCATGCAGCTTGCTCAAGGCTACCCAGGCTGGCTCTTCTCCCTGGAGGCCCAGTGGGGGATTTGAACTCCAAACCTCTGGCTCCACAACCAGGGACCCAAACTACCGAGCGATCCAACCAGCAATAGCTGATTTAAGGAGATGGAAATTAGAATGGACTCTGAGTCTATTGAGGTGTGATGCTAAATAGGATGGTACACCATCATGATCCTCGTCATCGGCTGTTCTCTCTCTCTCCAGTGACAACGCTCCGAAACTCTGGGTGTCTATTGAGGTGTGATGCTAAATAGGATGGCACACCATCATGATCCTCGTCATCAGCCGTTCTCTCTCTCTCTCCAGTGACAACGCTCTGAAACTCTGGGCAAAAATCCTAAATGATGCCAGCATAATGCAATCGGCGTAAATCTCAGGAATGAGTGGTTGCAAGTTAAGAAGTCAGCAGAAGGGTAAATCCATCAGGGGCTGCACACACAAACACACGTACAGTACCTCAAGCGTGCAGTGATGTTGAGACCCCCAGCAGGAGTCAAGCAGCTGCATGCCCAGAATCCCAGACCCTTCCGGATCCCTTGGGTGGAATTCCCCCTTTTCTCCTGGTGCTGCTTGGGCAGCGCCCAGGGAAGTGGGAGTCTGCCCATGACACGTCCCCCATCTTATGGGGCTCTTATGGGGCGACTCACCCAGTCCGGCCGGGCCTCAGCCGTGAGAAGCTGGAAGGCGAAGGGGTTGTCTTCTGCTTCATTGTACAGCTGGACTGCCGAGGCCAGAGCTTCCTCGTAGCTCAGGGGAGCGAGCAGCGAGGTGCCACCTGCACGGATCGCCCCCAGAAACAGGAGCAACGCCCAGCTGCTTTCCATCTCTAGGTCTCCTCGGGAGGTTTGGTTAGAGTTGGCTTGTAGCCTCCTCCTTTTAGGTCCCACCTTCTCCGGGGCCTGCTCCCCTCCGGGAGGGGAATTGGCATTTTTCCCATCACCTAAGCAAAGACTCTTTTGGAACCCGTTTTCCGAAGCCCTGATGAAATCTTTCGCCGTGATTGCACAATCGTCTCGGAAGAGTTGAGATGGTGAGGAGAACCGGAGCCAAGACGGAAGTTTTCCTTGTGCCTCGTGAAACAACAAAAGCCTTTGCTGAAGTTCTTGTGGGCAGTGGGTGAGATCCCCGTCTGTTTGCTTATGGGGCAAGGGGGGGCAGGGATCTAGAGTGGGAAGGAGAAAAGCGCCACTAGGAGAGTAGGGGGATGACTAGACTTTGTTTGGAACCATCTGGCTTGCCTTAGAAGGCTCTCTCCTTCCGTGGGATCAATTTTATCTTGCACTTAAGCGATCCTCCCATTCACCTGGGAGACATTTCTTCTCCTGCGAGAAGGGTCCAGACAGGATTTCAGATTGCTCCAATTTCTCCCCCTTTCAGGGCTTGATGCCCTCTACCCTTGCCCGACATTTTGTTATTCCTCAGGCTGTGGCAACGTCTCCCCTTCTTTGTCTAATTTAGTAAGTGGCATAGCGCTACACCAATCTGGCAATCTGGCGGGGAGACTCCCTTATATCTGAAATAGCCCTGCACCATGTCGGAGAATATTTTTACAAATTGTGAAAAGAGAAAAATAGAAGAGAAGGTCTCTCCACCATTGTTAGCTGAGGGTTTTTTGTTTGTTTGTTTTTGCTTCCCCATAATATCTCTACAGACAGGACTATGACGTCCTCCTCCTAGCCTCTCTGCCCCGGTCCTGCTGAGCTTAGTTGCCATAGCCTCACAGGAGTTGAAAGAGAAATGGCATTTTCAGGCTGTTTAAGGATGGCTCAGAGTTCAGTGAGCAATTAGGAGCCGTTTACTTGATCGAAGACTTGCTTCTCCTTTATTGAGGTGGACCAACCCCTCCACTTCCATGTTTGGACTCTCCCAGGGATGGGTGGGGGGCAGGCCGTGGAATTGTCATGAGGACTGCCTGCACTCAGAATTTACCATCACGCTACAGAAATGCCAGGCAGCCTGTGGTTCTAGAGACCTGCTGTCTTTTCTCCCTCCCTCTGCACCAGTAATTTCCCTGGTTCTGACATTCCTGGTGCCCTGGTTGTAGGGTAGACTTTGATGATTCCATCTTCTCCTTTGCCACCGACTCAGCGCCATCCTGAATTTTTATTTCTCTTTCCCCACTTCTAGAAGGGACCCATGAATGGCAGATTGATTGCTCCTGGGGGGTCTTTTGCTTTGCTTTGTTAGTGGCCTCAGAAATTCACAGGTAATTCTGGTTTGGTTCATTTTTATGCATTTGTCCCGAGAGAGACAAACGAGCCACCTCCAACGAACTGGCTTTTTGTAGATTTTTCCTTCTTTCATGGGGACAAGTTGACGTGACGGTTCTGCCGCTTGACCTGCAGTCCTGTGGCAGCTACAGAAACGATGCAAAAATCTTCTGAAGCAATCTGCTCCTCTGATGGGACTGAACTGACCCTTACCCTGTGGTACGTCATAATAAATCTCCTAATCTCAGAGGCGCTATCATATACTGGACTCATTTCCCTCTTCTGACTGTTCCTCCGAGGGACATGATACGACATATCTCTGTATGTCCGTTGTTCCCTATGTTCCAGCCATGAAAGATTAATAAGTCACCAAATGGCATCGGAATCAGAGTTCTTGAAGAGCTCAAATGGGCAATTGCTGATCTTCTGATAATATATACATATTTTATTGGTCCTGAAGAACAGCCTCTGGAACAGGAAAAGGAAAAGAATTTAATGCAATAACTTTTGTTTTAAAAAAAGGGGGAATGCAGCTCTGACTGCTTGCATGCCCCTTCATTTAATATATTTTCAAGTCAGTTAGCACGGTTGGGGTAGATCTGTCAAGCATATGGAACCGGTTGGATAAACTTTAGCCTTTTCCTTCTCTTTCTTGTTCTTACTGTCCCTGCTCTTACTGTCAATGATTCTGTTCTGCTTTGCCCCGAGCCATAGCCTGGCTGCTAGCTGGGTGGGACAAACGAACGAACGAACGAACAAAAACGAATGGACGAACAGACGAACAAACAAACAAAATTTAGACCCTGAGCTTTTTGCTTTTTCAACTACACCCAAAAGGTCAGGAGATTCTGGGAGCTGATATTCAAAAGAGGAACATTTTCCAAGCCCTCTCTGAGAGCCATCATTAGTGTCCAAAGTTGTTTGGATTGGCTTGGCTTTGCTTGGTGGGCAGTGGCTTGCAAAGTGATGGGTGGTATGGCTGCCATCTGCCAGTGGAGGGCGCTATTCTCTGAGAGGCATCATTAGTGTCCAAAGTTGTTTGGCTTTGCTTTGCTTTGCTTTGTGGGCAGTGGCTTGCAAAGTGATGCCATCTGCCAGTGGAGGGCACTACAGCCCAGGGCATAACAGGCTGGAAGCAGCCGGAAAGAAACTCCACCGGTCTCATGCAGCCCTCCAAGCCTTTTATCTGAAGGCACAACCGTTCAAATCCATAACCGGGAATAGTTCTCTTGTGCTGACACCACACCCTTGTCCAGAGTCGCCGACCGACAGATATTCTGTGCATGCTCATTCAAAAATAAACTCCAGACTTATTTCGGTGGTGCATCTGGGTGCTTCATTACATGAGGGTCAAATCACAAATTTGCAGAATTCCTGTTTCATGGGTATTACAATGGGGGACAATTCTTTCCGAATCCATGCTAAAGCAATCAGGGCTTTGGAAGGAAATCTGCATTGGCCTAAAATGAAAGCTAGGTACCGCAGGATCCCTGTATGTGCGTGGGGGTTGCTTCCAAGCCCCCGCCCTGACAGATGCTGAAAAACGCAGATTATAGCGAACACTTATGTAGAGCAAATTAGATGCTGAAAAACGCAGATTATAGCGAATACTTATGTAGAGCAAATTCTATACATAGTGTGGTCTCTGGCTCCCTCTAGTGGTCAGTTCTGATAACTTCAGAAATATAAATTTTTAGGATTTTCCTTTTAATATTTTCAGACAGTGGATAAGTGAATCGGTGGATACTGATCCCATGGTTAAGGGGGTCCTGCTGTAATTTGCAGCCTGAGGTCAAAGCATTGTGCCCTGATAGGAGAACACCTTTTCCCTCTGAAGGGCGTCCTGCTATTTATGATGTGCGAGGTCTTCTTGGTCGTGCCACCTATTCCTGAGTTCATGCAGAGGAGGCCGTTCAACACTCTTCTATGTTCCATGTGGAACAGTGGATCCATCTACGTGAGTGGGTCCCTTCTGGTGGCCCTGGTGGGACTGTCTGTTCTCATCACGTCCTCCTCGGAAGGCCCATCAGAGAAACATCTGCTGGTGGTTCAGCTCATGGGAGGGACGAGGAGAAGACCAGTGACAAGAGCTATGTGGGTGAGGGGTCCATGATTGCGCCTGCATGAAGGAGCCCTGGAAGGGGTCCCCGGGGCAGCCCTGCCTGCCCCAAGGAAGGGATTGCGGCCGGGACTTTTACCAAGCCCTCGGTCAGTCCCTTGAGCCACCCTTGAGCCACTGCCAGAGGCTGCTGTGACCCACCCACTGTTCAGCCAACCTCAACTCCAACTCAGAAGAGGCACTGGGGGTGCTGGCGCCAGTGGGAATATCCAGGGCACAATGAGAGGGTGGCTTGGCTCTCTGAGTCCTCCCAGTGGGGTGAGGGTCAGCTCCTCAGAAAGGTCCCTGCTTTCTGTCCATGCAGGACCCAGTGGAGACAGCTGGTCAGCCTCGGGGCACAGGACTGTCCAGGGGGGCTACAGATGGAACTCAACCTCCCCAGACATCAATTGCTATGGCAAAAGCATGCTGCGTATATACCACTCCATGGCACTGAAGGCACTCTGTAGGAGGGTACACACATTAATTATGCAAACGACTGAAGGCACTCTGTAGGAGGGTACACACATGCTTAGTGAACTGCAAGCCGGCTACCGGGGATTGAACCCAGGTCCTGAGCAGAGTTTTCACACTCAATTTACCGACCTCGGAAGGATGGAAGGCTTAGTGAACTGCAAGCCAGCTACCGGGGATTTGAACCCCAGGTCGTGAGCAGAGTTTTCACGGCAGTATTGCAATTTAACCGCTGCACCACAGTGCACCAACAATTTCTGGTTTTAGACCCATGTGGAGATCCTACCTATTGGTAAGCGTTTGCCCATATGCTTCCCAGCTGACCATTTATTTCACAGATGCTGTCAATTAATTTTGTGCACTGGGCTTCATGGCGCCTCTTTCGTATCTTTGTATAGTGCTGTGGAATAGTCAAATCTCAGAAATCCGTACATCTTAGAAAACAATAAATAAACAAGAGGAATAAACAAGAGGGTATAGGACAGTAAGCGGCCACATGCTGTTCTCAAGGCCCGGTTTCCAAGTACAGATTCGGGATAGAAGTGATCATCTTCAAAAATTCACTGACACCAGATTTGTTGACAGTCACTTGATTGGGGATTGCTCTGAGAAGGGATGAGACAAAGGTATAATGGATAGGACTGTCCCCCCCAGATGCAGGAGCATTATATCTATAGAATTCAGAAATCTGGAACCAACACCAGCGAACGCCTTCCTGATCTGCTTCTGGATTTCTCAGAAGCACTTGCTTGTTTACTCTAGAAAAAAGATAATAGGGTTACAAGCGTGCTTGGCTTAATCCAGCAAAGCTATTCTTAATGGTACTGCTGGCCTGAGATGAGTTTTCTAAATGGATTGTTGTGCTCTGTTTTTAAATGTGTCTTTAGTATGGGTTTTATTTAATGCTTTTAATATATAATACTTGTTCAATTGCTTTTTCAACATGTGTATACTTTTTCTTTTTAGCTTTTAAAGATGATCTTTTAATTGCTGTAAGCTGCCTTGGATCCTTTTAAGGAGAAAGGCGGGGTAAAAAAATAGTTTAAATACAATAATTTTTAAAATGCTGAAATTAAATTGGATCCTCTTTTAAACAGGTGTGCAAACAGAGTCTGTCAATGTACAGAGTTTATTCTGCTCAGGGTTATGATGTTCTTAGGATGCTGCTAGTGGAAAGAGTACAGAGGTCTGCTAATTACGAGGATACATGGTAAATTCAGGGCC